CCGCCCGCCCCCGCTCCCGCCCTCCCGCCGGTACTCACCGCGTCCCGGTGCGGGGCCGTCACGTGCATGCGGTGAAGTTACCGATGTCCCCCGCACCGCTGACCGGGTGGCACCGAGAGGCTGCGGACAGGGCGGCTCCCCGCCGCAGGAGGGGTTCCTCCGAGCTGTCCCCGTCCTCTCCGCTGCCGCCTTCGCGTTTTCGAGCAGGACGGGCCGGGGGGGAAGGGGCGGGGGAAGAAGCACTTTTCCTAGCTGCGGAACAGCACGGCGAGGCGGCACAGGCAGCCTTCCACAGCCCCCTCACAGCCCACTGCCCCCCACCCACAGCCCCCGCTCTACCGCTCGCCGGGCACCGGGCGGGGAGCGAGGCGCGGCCCCACCCCCGGAGCGGCTCTGCCCGCACGGCTCGTCAAAAGTGGAGCTCGGAACGGCCTGCGCGTCTCCTCTGCCCTCCAACGGGCGCCGCTTTAACTGTGGAGACAAGAAAGACCCAGAGAAAGAAGCGATGTTTTCTGAAATTACACCCACTGCGATGCTGTGGGGATCAGCCCCCGAACCACCGCCCCATCCCGTGGGATCGCTCCACATGAGCGTGGAGGTGCCGCTTCACAGTTGCCGTTTTCTTCCCTGTCTGCAGGTGTGTGAACTGCCCCCCTCGTCGTGAGAGAGCGCGCCCGAGACCTGGGTGAGGCTGTACGGAGAGCCAGGGTCCGGCCCGGAATGGGGGCTGACCGGGCCTCGCGTCCTGCAGCGGACGCTTTGTTTGCCCACGTAGTTCGTGTCCCTGCAGGCTACATGAAAGAGCCCTGAGCGATTGCCCAGCCCAGAGCTGGCCTCCTACCACGGGATCGCGACACAGGGCAGAGCCGCGGGCTCAGGGGTCACCCAGGAGGGACCGGGCTCCCTGGGCACCCCACCGAGTTCCCCATGCAGGAGGGGACACGGGTGGGCCCCAGTGCATGGCACGCTCAGCACTGTGTGGACGCTTCAAGCCGAAGCAATGGTAGAGCCGACAGCCAAGAGGAGTGGCTGTGGGATGTGGGCACAGCATCGTTGTCTCCAGACTGTTTCCACTAAGAGCAGAGCACCCAGGCACTGGAGGAAAGTCAGGGGGAAGCTCGTAGGCTCGGTCTCCCGTGCAGCTGCAGCAGTTACACCAGCGTAACGGTGAGGGTTGAGCGCGGAGGCACCTTACCACAAACAAATAGCCAGCAGCAGTTAAAACAAGGGGGGGAAATGGAGGCTGCTGTTTGGTCACGGCTGCCTGGAAATGCTGTGCAGGCGAGCCCCGAGACCTGTCCTCCCTCTCCCCAAGCTGTGCCTTGCTGCCCTGCCTCTTCTCGTGGCACGGATCTTTCGTTATACAAAACATGTTAGTGAGGCTGGTGGGGATTCTGCACGACTTCTGTTCTGGAGAGAAAAATCCTCTGTTGTTGTCTAATCTCATTTCTACACCTGCCAATTTCCCTCTCCCTCTCCTGTTCTCCTCACCCTCTTCAGAGCACTAATTAATACACAGCTGCCTTGGCCATGCCATGTCCACTGAAAATCTGCATTGAATTAAATGCTATGCTTTCGTGCTATCTAACTCATTGTCTCTGCTAATCATATCCTTAATTAATAGAGTTATTAGCTGTTTTTGAATATGGGGCTTCCAGTTGTTAGTAGCTTTTTTTCCCTTAAACTACAAGTTAGCAATTTCTAAATGTGATCATGTCTTTAATTGCATAGAAATAAACCCCCATGATCCCAAACCCTTAATCTGCCTATTTTAGGATTTCTTACGGCTGCTTACCCTGATAGCAGAGCATCTTCCATATGAAATCAGCCTTATAAGGCATATCAAATTAGGTTCCAGATTACAGTGAATTAAAAAAAAATAGGCCAAAGAACATTGAAAAATGTGTGACTTACCCAAAGATATCCAGTACTGGCTCTGTCAGAAAAAATCCCCCAGAGCTCTGACTCCCATTGCCTATGCTGAGAATTTATCTACACTGATACAATTAAAGACAAAATATTTGTGGTATTGAAGGATTATTTGACAAAGATTTTATTGTTGTTGTTAGGAAACAATTCTCTGGTAAGATGCTTTGAGGGGAATATTTTCCAGAAATGATTTCCCACCCCTATTATCTGAGCTGTTAGGAGCTCCACTGAGTATTTCAGGGTAATGCTCCTAATGGAGTAGTAGAGATTTTTAAATCTCTCATACACAGATCTCACCATTATTTTTTGTTCAGGAAGAAAAAAAGGTCAAAATTAAACCACAAACCTCTTGTCATAGAGCATCACCCCCTGCCAAAATCCCTTCCCGTTTGACTCCTGTGCAGGTTGGAGGATACCAGGCTCTCAGACAGCTCTGGTGGGGAGAGGGGCTGCATACACAGGAACTCAAAACTGCTTTAATTATTAATAAATATATTTACACAAGAACAGTTTCCCTTTAGGGGAAACATGAGTTCTCATGCAATTACTCAGGTTATATTGACTCAACACTGTCAAAAAACTAAGATTTCATCACTTTAATACAAGGAGTATAAACATCTATTTATTTAGCAAAGTTTATCTGAAAGGTACCCGTAGAGCCTGTGGATTTGGAAAGGAAGTCCACCCTTGCAGCCGGAGGTGGCCAGGTTTTTCTTGGCAGCTCTTGGCCAGCACCAGCAGCTCGTGGTGCTGCTCACCAGTCAGGCATGTGGGACCCACCGCTGCCTCGAGGCCTGGCAGCAGGAACCCCCAGGGACCTGGGAGAAGAGCAACGCGCTTCGTGTCTTTGTGTGTGACACTGAGTGCATTGGGAAGGCCTGACCGGGTGGCACGTGCTGCTGCATGGAGCAGCTGCCCCTCGTCTGCCCACAGGGCCCTGCAGAGAAAAGGCCCGGGGGGTCCAGTCACTGCAGAGGGGCCACGGGGCACCATGGCAGAGGAACAACCACCCCAGAACTGCTGCCAGAGAGCCCTGGCTGTGCAGCTGGTCAGAAGGTGCCTCTGTTCTTACCCACGCAGCCAGTCCTCATTTTTTCCCATCTCCTTCACATTTGCCTCTCAGTGTGCAATTTGGGTTATTTCTATATGATTGCGGGTTGGCAGGAGACTACAAGGTGCCTTCACAAACTTACAAACAATGTGTTTTGAATCTCTTTGGCCACTGACTTTCCCTCTCAGAAACCCGTACTGATGGAAAATGGCAATTGAATAGCTGTACTGCATCAGAGCAGGAGACCAGCCCCTACCTTCTCCCCATCCTGATGGAGGCCATAAGTGGTTATCCAAGAGAAGAAGGGTAACAGGAGAGAGTGGAGTGATCCCACTTGATCTCCATTGTCCCAGCCCAAAGATGGTCAGGACAGGGCTGTCCCCGGAGCATCATTTCTGAACAGAGAAGAGCCATTCACCAGAGAAACAGAAGGGGAGATGAGGAGGAGCTGAGAAGCACTTGGACACAGAGAAATCATTGCCTAAACAAGAGCTGTTCACTGATCACCACGCTCATCAGGTTCTCTCCAGCCCTGCCTGTCACCCTGCCCTGATCCAGCCAGTTGTTAGTGTTTAGTGTCATCAGGCTGGACACATCAGCAAGTGCTCGCCTGGGGACTTCAGGGCACTCAGAAGTAACAGAGGGCTTGGAAATAGACTGGTTAGCAAACATCAGTGTATTTTTGGATAAGTGTGGATGAGTCCTTATTTTGTTGTTATTAATCTGTATTGCAGGCACTGCTCATGGAGAAGGAGGCCAGGCTGTTGTTACTGTTATTACTAGTGATTTAGCACCACTGCTAGGTGGTCTTAGCAGAAAGACTAAGACAAGGTCGCTTCCCCAACATCCTTTAATCTAAACACATGCTCCAGCGCAGTCCCAGGCTCTGCTGCAAATGGCTGTAACAGGAACCACAGGAGCACAGAACGCTCCTGTGCCACTCTGCTACCAGCCTCCAGCCCTGTTTGAGCAAGGGTGAGAGTGATTTATGGGGACCTGAGGCACTTTGCTAAGTAAAATCACCCTTTTATTCTTCAAGCCTCTTTGTTTTCAAATATGAGCCTTTCCCAGTGTAATATAGAGACTTGCTCTCCTCAGAGTGTGTAATGCAGTCATAACCTTGTCTGCAGCGTGCAGCCAACTGACATCTTCACCATGAGGGATTTGCCTCCAGAGGGGAGCTGTGCAGACAGAGGTTGTGAGCACAAAAAGGTTTCCTTCTAGGTTAATGACAGATACAGTGCTGGTGAAAGTTCACATGCACAATAACAGCAGGATGTTCTGGACTGGGAGGTTTATCACAAAGCATTAAAGAGATGTGTCTTTGGTAGCCTGTGCTAGGTTTAACCTGGGCCCTGCAGGTAGTGAGGAGCTCTTTCACCGCCTGGACCCACACTGGATGCAAAAGCAGAAGGTTCCCCAGTTTTCCCCAGATCTCCTTGGTGACCTGTTGCTTTTATTTTCCTTAGAGGCTTGGGAAGGGCTCAGCACTCAATTGCCCCAGCTTCACACTGGTCAGGGCTGGAGGTGTGGCTGGTGAGCTTGAATGCAGCTCCAGCTCTGATCTGTGGGAAGCTCAGCCTGTGCTGGGGTGGTGGCCAGGTGAAGCACAGTCCCTTCCACCCTGGTTGCCCTGATGGTCTCTCATCCATACATGTCTCTTGTCAATGTGGGCATCACAGGCAGGCGCAGGTGCCCGTGTGCATGGCAGAATAGGGCTCTTCTTTGGCTGGGTCCAGCCAGCCCCAGTGTTAGGGGGTTTCTGTGAGCAGCAGTGGTTTTCACACCGTTTTGCCTGGGCTGGCTGTGCAGGGGCTCGTCAAGCCCCCCAGGACTGCAGGGCACTGCCCACAGCACTATGGCACGAGGGGGGCCAGCCACATCCTGCCCATGCCAGGCCCTGTGCGTCCTGACCGCCTGCCAGCCGTGTAGGATGCGGGACTTGGCTCCCAGCAAAGGAAGCAAATGCAACATAAAGCAGAGCATCCCCTCATGGGATTTCCAGCAGGGGCCACGCTGATTGCTCAAAACAAAGCTCGGCTGCCTTGGAAGGGAGCCCGGCTCTTGCCCTGGAGTTCACACATGAAGGCCCAACTGAGCCACACAGCAAAGCCCTGCAACAACAACCAGCAAGGCTGATCCTACTAGCTTTGTTCAAACATCCTCCACCAAAGCCTGAAGGAGGTTTTTCCTTATGAAGTCAGGCAGGATCGTGCTGCACACTCTGCAATATGCTAACTTCCCCTGAGCAGTTGCTAAATACGTGCTTAAGTAGACAGGCCACCACTACTCGTTAACCAAAACAAATGGGAAAGGGGGAAAGCTTACAACACAACAATTGCTTTCAATTAGAGGATATATCTATTGCCAAAATATGTCGGCGGGATTCGACAGACTACATTTTTAACTGTGTACTACTGAAGAACAGGCTGCACTAAAATGCAGCCTAAACTAAACAGGAGTTTAATCCCTTCCCTTCCTTCCCACAGCATAATCACCAGGCTGTAAATATATTATTACAGCCCACACTACCCTTGTTAACTGCAACCAATTTGACTTACCTCAGTGGCTTCAATGTTATTCTCTCCCATGTTCACTGAGCTTATTGAGTCTTCAGTGTTGATGTTCATTTTGTGCTTTGAAGTGAAAGGGTTAAATGTGGTTAATTGTAAATTTATTGTTTGTTTTGTATGTCTTAATACAATCCTAAGCATTTTGGTTAACACTTCATGTTGCTTTAAAAGATATACCACGTTGCACTGAGCTCCAAATCATTCAGTTTATCCATTTCTGAGCACCTTGCTGAACAGAGCAGACTCCAGACCAGCTCCAGATGTGCCCTCAGGTTGGAGGGCCCGTTGCCAGCAAAACTCTGTACACCTCAGGTGACACTTTACATCTTATATGCCCAACTCCCTCTGACAGACTCTTCCCTAGTCCTAGCTGGGCACCCGCAGCTGCCACCTGCCCTGAACCAGTTCCACAGACACTGCTGGACCCAGAGCTCATGCAAGTTCATGGGCTTCTGCCAAGGTCAGCCCCAGCTTCAAGTCACTTGTCCTTGCTGTGACCTTTGGCCAGGCATCCAGCACTTGCCCAGCACAGCCCTGCGTGCCGTCCCGTAGCTTCTGTGTCCAAGCTGTGGTGCTGACTCTGCCAGCCTGATTGTCAGCTAGCTTTAACCTCAGTCTCATAACACCAGCAGCCTCAGACACAAGCCTTGTTCAGATAGCCCTTGACAGCATCATCTCCAAAACCTATGCAAGCAGTAACTACTGCACCAGCACCCTAACTTTCACTCCCTGCACTGTCCCTGCTTGAACTTCAACCCAGAGGTCTGTCCAGGCAGCCACCTGCAGCCCACTCCAAGCCCTTGCCCTGCACCCCAGCCCTGCCCACGACGTGCCCATGCCAAGGGCAAGCAGTTCTCGGCCATTATGGGCAGACCCTGCTGGCCCTCCCTGCCCTCCACGGGGGCTGATCAGGTCGTGCAGCGCTTGCACTGTGTTGTGGCCCTTCAACAGAGGTGTGGGGTCAGCCTCTCCCAGGAACTTACTAGCAGGCACTGGTTACAAATGTGCCCGCTGCTTTTACTAGGAAACCTGAAA